TTTACAAGGACAGCAATTTAGTCCAGGTGGCTCCCTTCTCTTCTCTAGTTAGCAAAGAGAGCAGAAATTCCCCGTTTGCCCCTCCCCTTTGCTCCTGCTCTGCCTGGGCACTTAACTTACTCCCTAAACTCACTCCCTAACCTCACTCCCTAAACTTACTCCCCCTTGCCTGCTCGTTTGCTGTGCACGTAGAAATGTTGAGATATGGAAGCAGAAAGATATATACTGCTCCCCTTGCCTTTGTTCATGGCTCAGGCCTTGGGAGATTACTCCCCTCTGAGCCCGCTGGTGAAAGATTAAAACCTCAACACTCCAAGACCTTCGAGTGCCGCGTGGTTCTTCCATTAGCGATCCAGTCCAGGTTTTCCAAGATTTTCCGAAACAGTATCTCATCTCCTTTTTAAAAGGGCTGATGTTGTGTGCTACATTTATTAGGGAAGATTTAAATAAATTATTCCAGAAACCATTAGCAACATGATATGTAACAAATTCACAGATTACAAGACAAAAGATATGTTTCATTATTTATATAACATGTAAGAATGGGCTCAACTATTTGGTACTATGACCTCTTCCAAACAAGAACCGTATTTTGTTTATACCTGGTACCTGGAAGAAAGAATGTTCAGTCAGGAATGAGCAGTTGAAGGATGTCACTTTAAATTACTGTACCTTCAGGTTTCCAGGGCCATACTTTGTTGCACAACAAGACATTTCTCCCCCTAGAAGTCCCCCCGGTTTTATTTAACCAAGGTCTGAATCCACTTTCAGGGGCCCTACATACAAATATATATTCATTGACTATGTAGTGTCTTCCCATCCCTGTAATGTTCAACAAGGGCTAAAGAGATTAGGAAATTGACCTCCACTAAGTGAGAGAGAGACTAGACCAGATGATTCCTGTCTCCCTTCCTCTCAAGATCTGATGTTTGCAACCATCTAAGTAAACACAACTCAGCAAGCATGTAGTAAGTCTGAATGAGAGGCAAGCAGTGGACACAAAGATGAGACATATGAGTCCCAGCTCTGCTTCCTGAATAGCTTCTAGTTAACTCACAGGACAGACACAGAGCTTCACAGCACTAATCCCAAGGTAATTACAATTATTTCGGTTTAATGCTTGCCTTCTCATTGTAAAGTAATGAGGACAAAAACTGAGTCTACTATTTACCAATATATCCCTAGCATCTAACAATGTCAACCACTTAATTTTTAGCATATATATTAATAATTATATGTTATTGATATTTATATAAATACTACATAATTAATTATATAATCACAATTATTAATAAGGCACTCAATGTTTGCCAAATAGATTAAAAGATCATTTCACTATACTATGTTGAGCGCCCAGAGGTATACGCAGGGCGCTGATCCATGGACTGAGGGTCAAGGATCAACAGGCTCACTGCAGCATAGCAGGATAAAGGGGACAGCCTGCCCTTGTGGGCATATGCGTGCTGAGAGAACTATCTTCAGTGAGAGCTGATTACTGATTATTAACGTTGTGGGTATTTTTTTTCCAAGTGTTAAAATTTTGTTTAGCCGGACTTCTTCTTAGGAAGCATCTTTGCTTCTGCCAAGCTAAGTGGGGCCAAGAGATGACACAGAACAAGTACTTTAGCTTTGAGTCTCAGTTTTAAAGAGGAAGGATACAGGCAGGCACAAAATCCCACGGTTTCAATGAAACTACAAAGGCAATAAGGGCATACGTCAGAATGGAATACAGATTGTACATCCCGCATCAGAAAATGCCCATAGACTTTATGTCTGAGGAACTGAAATGCAGCAGCAGGCCACAGGAAATCCGCCCAGGATGAATGAATACCAGTGAGGGGGCCTGACTGCTCTTCGCTTTGCCCTTGCCTGAAGCACTACAAACACTAACGGCTTAGATCTTCCTATGAGAGCTTGAGGCCCAACTGGATTCTTCTCTTTATTACCATCCACCCATCTTTTTTCATTGGTGCGCAAAAGTCAATCTTTCTCCCTGTTTTTAAAAATAACTTTTAAAAAAGGCTCTAAATTATATAGGTTTTTAAAAATGCCTATTAATACCTTTGTTTTTAAAAATAGAACCTCATTGCAGTCAGTAAGAACATTCTTTTTGTGTTCATTTAAACATCTCTGTGGGCAGGGGTCACTTTTTGTATTTTCTTATTACCCCCAAAAGCCTAGCACAGTGGCAAGCACATAGTAAGCAGACACCTGATGGAACATATAAAAAACTTAACACACTGGGCCATATTTAAAATAAAAATTGAAATGAACAATTACTCTATTTTCTCTATTTTCCCCTTATTTTCACATAGTGCCATGTTCAGATGCCCTTGTAAGAGCTTACTACACTTTATTTTTTTTTCACTTTATTTTAATTGCCTATTTGGATTAGGCATTTAGTATCTATTCCATAAACAAAATGATATACTCCAATTTATAAAATGACAAAGGGAAAATAAATATGACAAAATATTTAAAAATGAAGAAGGTGAGGAGGAGCCAAGATGGTGGCATGAGGAGAGCAGCGGAAATCTCCTCCCAAAAACATATATATTTTTGAAAATACAACAAATACAACTATTCCAAAAAGAGAGACCAGAAGATATAGGACAACAGCCAGCCTACATCTACACCTGTAAGATCCCAGTGTCTGGCAAAGGGGGTAAGATACAAGTTGCGGCCTGGCGGGACCTGAATGCCCCTTACCCCAGCACCCAGTGGGAGGAGAGGAGTTGGAGCAGGGAGGGAGAGGGAGCCCAGGACTGCTGAATACCCAGCCCCAGCCATCTGCACCAGAGCGCAGACACACAGCACGCGGGGTGCTGGATACTAGGGAAACGGGTCAGTAAAACCTGCAAGCGGCTCCCCACAGCTGGCGTCCCTGGGACAAAGAAAAGCGAGTGCTTTTTGAAAGTCTTAAAGGGACAGGGACCCCACAGCTGGATGGAGGTGTCCCAGAATAATCAGTTAAGCAGCTGGGAACCCGGGGAACTCCGGGCGCCCTAACCCCCTGGGCGGCAGCGCAGCTCTGAGGCCCCTCATGGCAATAAACAGCTTCCTGCCCGCTTCCCGTCCGGCGTGGCCCCACCATAGCAACCACACACAGAGCTTCCTTCACAGCGGCCGGGCAAGAATCAGAAACCCCGTCTGTGAAGAACTGCCCAGCACAAGCTGCTAGAGATCACCATTCTCCCAGGAGAGAGGAAGGCCACAAACTAGCAAGAAGGGACGTTCTCTCAGCTGACACATGCCAACTACCCACGACTATCTCTATCACCATGAAAAGGCAGAAGAATTTGATACAGACCAGATTAACCCAGACAATATACCTGAAAAGGAATCTAGGGAAATAGACCTAACCAATCTTCCTGAAAAAGAATTTAAAATTAAGGTCATAACCATGCTGATGGACTTGTAGAGAAATATGCAAGAGCTAAAGAGGGAGAATACAGAAATAAAACAAACTCTGGAAGGATTTAAAAGCAGAATGGATGAGATGCAAGAGGCCATTGATGGATTAGAAACCAGAGAACAGGAACGTATAGAAGCTGATGCAGAGAGAGATAAAAGGATCTCCAGGAATGAAACAATATTAAGAGAACTGTGTGACCAATCCAAAAGGAACAGTATCTGCTATAGGGATACCAGAAGAAGAAGAGAGGGAAAAAGGGATAGAAAGTGTATTTGAAGAAATAATTGCTGAAAACTTCCCAAACTGGGGGAGGAAATAGTTGCTCAGACTACCGAGGTACGCAGAACTCCCAAGAGACGGGACCCAAAGAGGACAACACCAAGACACATAATAATTAAAATGGCAAAGCTCAAGGACAAGGACAGAATTTTAAAGGCAGCTAGAGAGAGGAAAAAGGTCACCTACAAAGGAAAACCCATCAGGCTTCTCAACGGAAACCTTACAGGCCAGAAGAGAATGGCATAATATAATGCAATGAAACAGAAGGACCTTGAACCAAGAATACTATTTCCAGCAAAATTATCATTTAAATATGGAGGGATTAAACAATTCCCAAACAAGCAAAAGTTGAGGGAATTTGCCTCCCACAAACCACCTCTACAGGGTATTTTAGAGGGACTGCTCTAGATGGGAGCACTCCTAAGGCTAAATAGATGTCACCAGAGAAAATAAAATCACAGCAAAGAAAGCAGACCAACCAAATACTAACTAAAGGCAAAAAATAAAATCAACTACCAACAAAAGCAGTCAAAGGAAACACAAAAGAGCACAGAATAAAACACCCAACATATAAAGAATGGAGGAGGAGGAATAAGAAGGGAGAGAAATAAAGAATCAACAGACAGTGTTTATAATAGCTCAATAAGCGAGTTAAGTTAGACAGAAAGATACTAAAGAAGCTAACCTTGAACCTTTGGTAATCATGGATCTAAAGGCTGCAATGGCAATAAGTACGTATCTTTCAATAATCACCCTAAATGTAAATGGACTGAATGTACCAATCAAAAGACACAGAGTAATAGAATGGATAAAAAAGCAAGACCCATCTATATGCTGCTTACAAGAGACTAACAAAGAAAAACTGAAGGAACAAAACAGCAGTAGAATCACAGAACCCAAGAATGGACTAACATACAAGGGAAAGGGACTGGGGAGGATGGGTGGGAAGGGAGGGATAAGGGCAGGGAAAAAGAAAGGGGACATTACGATTAGCATGTATAATGTGGCGGGGGGGCGGCATGGGGAGGGCTGTGCAACACAGAGAAGACAAGTAGTGATTCTACAGCATCTTACTACTCTGATGGACAGTGACTGTAATGGGGATTGTGGGGGCGGACTTGGTGAAGGGGGGAGCCTAGTAAACATAATGTTCTGCATGTAATCATAGATTAATGATAACAAAATTAAAAAAAATGAAGAAGGCAAAATTTTGGTAATTTGCCAATGCAAAGATGTTTTTATTCATTTATAAATACAACTCAGTATTATGTTCAGTTTATACCTTAATAACTATCTCTTTACCTGAGTCAATATGCAAATGTCACATTATTTAACATTTTTTCCTAATTAAATTTGCATATATGAAGGAAAGTAACACATTGGATAATAAATTATAAAGCATAGTTTCAGGCTTATGTGGGATTATGATTGCTTTCAACAATTACTGAAATCTCTTTTCAAAGAAAATCTTCATACTTATGTATGTTTGTCCATGTTACAGACTGAAGACAGCCACAACTGTGGCACTGTCCTAATGGCACAGAACTACTAAATGTATGATGCAAGTCAACTTATTTCCTTTAAAACTTCACAAAGTAATTTCAAGGAGAACAACAAAACATTAAAAGTTGTCAGTGTTCATCCTAAGAATTAGGCAGTCTTCTTTTTTTTCTTCTCTGCTTCTTCCTTTTCTTTTTCTATTTCTGTTACTTGTAATTCAATTTCTTTGGTGCTGAACATCTGAAAAGAAAAATTTTTTTAAACAAATTTTAATTACATCAATAATTTATAAATATTTACAATATGAAGGAAACCAATTATATTTTGCCAAGTAATATTTTCTATTTATAATTTTGTTTTAGAACTTCAAGTGTATAATGAAATACTTCAAAAGGTTCAAAAACAACAGTACTTTCAACAATTATGGACAAAACCTGAACTCTATGACATTTCCACTATCGTACTAAGAAAGCAGGGTGAAATGTCATACCGTGTTACATATCCTATCATGCATATCATTCTGAAAAGATTTTAATGCAAGGCTTATTCTATTCATTAGCAAATAGTTAATTACTGAACCCCCCTTATGTTAGAAGCCTGGAGGGCCAGCAGTGATATAAATGGCAGCTGAATGTCACTTGTTGGTAGCATATCTTGATTTCAGAAGATCTAAAAAGGAAGGAAGAATAACTTCTCTGTACATGGTGCCAAGAATAAATCTCCAGGGGAATATACTGTATTACCTCAAACAGAACTGACTCAGTAGAGGTTCCTACTTAGAAGAACATACCAAAATGGGTTAAGCTTATATTTAGATATCAGCACCTCTAAGTCTTTACAGAGGGTGAGGGATAGATAACTACTTGGAATAAACACATACAAATTAGTGAACATAAGCCTCCAGAAACAACAGAAGTCATCACAATAATGTCAATGGATGCTAAAGGATGTTTCAAGCTTATAATGAAGATTCACAGAAGACTCAGAACATTTTGTCAAAATACTTTGTACTACAGGTATTTTTTTCCTCTTTGGTTAATGATTTACCTTCAAAGGTTGGTTTCTTCTTATTACAGCAAGTTCAATGTTTTTTCCACCAGACTGGACAACCTGATGTAGAACAATTAAAATATTAGGATGCCTTCAGCAAATTTTGTTTTTAATATGCAATTGAGTAAGAAGAGAGTAAGCATTTCTGAGTATGCTTTATTAGGTCACTTACTTCTAGCAAAGCTGTTATTGCTAATTTAATAGCTTCATTGTTGTTTGCTATTGCATCTTCTGTGTAATTCTTTTCTAGAAATTCTTGGACAGTTTTAGCACTTCGGCCTATTGCATTTGCCTTGAAAAATAAAATACAACTACTAATATCATTGTAATATAAATGAATTTATGGTTACTCAGTGAGGCTTAGGTTTAGAGTTTAGTATTTCTTAGCATAACTACCAAATAAAAATTGTAGGCTTGAAAACTTGGCCAACATTTCAGCAGCTCACTGTGTTACTACATGAATAATCTATAATGGTGGCATGACATTTTCAAACATACCAGTGCTCTGCCTGGCCAGTGCATTCTATTATTTTAATAGCTCCCAAGTCCTTGGATAACCAGAAAAAATCAAAAGAGTTGAAACTCCAAAAGATATAGAGAAAGAAAAGGAGGTATAACTTCACAATACTGTACAAAAGAAAAAGACACCAACACAAAGAAAGCTATTTATATGAATAAGACTATGTGCATCATTTTCTTAAACCTTCTTCTTTATATATAAATAAAATATTTACTTATTTGTAAAATAAAGGTCACCTAATTATTGAATCACTATCACCTTTGACTCTGTAAGCAAGAAGGGCTTCTTTTTTTCCTTCCCCATTTTTCTTTGTTCTTTAGAAATTTCCATCAGATGAATCAGAGGCAAATGGATTTCCCTGGCTGCGTGGCTACAGGTAGTATATGGTGTGTTCTTTTAATTCAGCCTAAATATCTAGACTAGTACTAGTGATGATAATGGTGATGATAACAGTACTTTACTTTAACAGAGTACTTATGTGCCAGGCACTATGCCAAGCATTTTACATGGATTCTCACTTAAGCAATTAAATCACAAAAACAATTAGAAGTTACTATTACTAACCCCAATTCACAGATGAAGTAGAGGGCTGGAATGGTTAAAAGGAGCTTTCTCAGCCTCAGCACTACTAATATTTGGGGTGGGGCAATTCTTTGCTATGGGAGGCTGTCTGATGCACTGGAGGATGCTCAGCACTAGATGCCAGGAACACCCCCACCCCCATTGTGTCAATCAAACATGTCTCTAGATATTGCCAAATGTCCCTTGGGGGGGCAAAATCCCCTATTTGTGAACAACTGCCTTAAGTAATCTTGCCCAAGATCCTATAGCTGAGATTAGAAGCAGTTGGCCCTTGAACAATGGGTTTGAAAAGCACAGGTCCACTTACACAGATTTTTTCAATAAATGTACAGTATCTATAACTGGATAGAAGGCAGTAGGTTCCACAGGTGATGTGGTCAATATGTGGGTTCAAAACTTCATGACTCAACTTTTCTTCTCTATTAATTGGTGATGTGTGCCTTGAGAAATGTGATGTGTTTCTTAAATGAATGTTGTGTGTTAACCAAGGCCAGTTCCTGCAACATAGTTATCTCCCCTATTGTGTTGTGCTGGGGTACGTTGCGGAGGGAGTTGTGCACTGAGATCACAACGAGCCAATGGTTGTATGCATGAGATCACCAACTGTCCTTGGATGTATCTGTGTGACTAATAAATATGAGAGGTGCCTTCTCAGCACCACTCTTGAGCTAGTTATGCCTTGAGTCACCTGGCCAGCCTACTAAGATCTTCGACAACTCATCGCGTTGCCTCCTCTATCTGCGGGTCAAAGACAGGGAGGAGGCCAACACAATAGAAATGGAAAAGGAAAGACATCGTACATAGAGGCCAAAACCTAGAACCTTGGTGTTATGAGCACCATGCCCTAACTAACAGCTAACTAGCAGCCACCTGGACTGGAGAGAAACACTAGGATTTGAGAGTAGCAGAGGAGCAGAGGCTGGATGGGTAACCGAGGAAGCAGGCAGTGTACTTTTGCTCCGTAGCCGTGCGCCCCTCCCAGTCCTGGCCTGATCCAACAAGCAGGCAAGCATCAACCTTGGCAGGGACCAGCAGGGCAGATAACCTAACCCTCTGCTTGCTCTTTTCTCTGTTGGACCCTACAATCCTCCCATTTCTTTTCTACTTTTCTTCTCTTTGTTGCATCTGAGTTAACTGATCCATGTTATAATTGGTAGGCTATCAGTAGTTATGTTATTTGGGAGTCAAGTTATACTCAGATTTTCAACTGCGAGGGGTGTCAGCTCCTGTACACAGGATGAACTGTACAGTCTGAACCAGCAATCGAGATTGGAACTCTATTCACTATGCCATCATGCGCCCCTTTGCTGTGATGGCCCCGGAAGCAGAAAGACCCATCTTTTCACTGAAGGATCCCAGTATTATATGAGGAAATGTGTCAGTTTTAACTGGTTAGGATTATGATTATAGGAAAGAGATCTCAGAGATTTTAGTAAGTATGAAAACACACCTTCTGTACCACATGAGAGTATATTCTGTTTGACAGAAGGTTCGTTTTACTTCACAGAACTTTCCTATGCCTCTATATTTCAGAGGATTAAAATAAATGGTTGCAAAAATTAAAATTAAAATTTGTGTCCTTCAAATTTTACTGAGGTCAAAGACAAAGCCTTCAGCCTGGTATGACATTGGAGTTTATTTTCTACTAGTTGTTTTTGGGTAACTGGTTGCTGCCCTAGAGAGGAAGTACGTAAGGACAGAGTTTACCCAAAAATCTCAGTCCTTAAAGTCGCCTTATAAACTCCTGACTTTCCTGTCCATTTCCTTCAATCACTGATATAAAAATTCTTTAACTCTTACCTACATGACTGGTTTCCTAAAGTCTTCTTCTTGCCATACTAATCCCCACACTCCAAACACAGCATCCATCAGCCCACTTGAATAGACTATGATAGTTTTTGTAATGTTTTCCCACCTGTCTATCCTGATTAATGGTGATTTTCTGTGGCAAAAAACATTCACTGGCAACCCCAATACCCATTCTTTCTTTGTGACAGAATGCTAGGCAATGTGCCTGATAATAAATGTCATTTCCTAGCCTCAGTTATTGATAGGAATATTCAAGTATAAGTAAATGGATGGAACTTCTAGAAACCTTTGCTGCCAGGAATGCAGACATTTTGCTGGAGGTCTAGCAGCACCCACCTAGAGAGCAGAGAAAAAACTAAGATAATAAACAAATACCAGTAACTAACTACCTTCAAACTTCTCATATTTATATGACAGAAATAAAACCTTCTGTGTTAAGAATCATCACATCTCTGCTGTTAGGAGCCAGAAACTATACCTCACAGATACACCTCTGACTGGATCCTGTGATATAGGGCCCCATCCCCTTTCAGAAATAAAGCCTATTTCTACAGCTGCTGGAAGTACCAATGGCAGAGAGCCTTCAGCTCTTAACTTTCTTTCTTTTTTTTATTTTAGGAACTCAGAAAGCTTTATTGGGCTGACAGTTAATGCACTTCAGACCTCATATCAGCATTATCGAATGTTTTTAAAACTAGAAACCAAGTACTGCTGAGTCCATTAAGTAACATAATCAACTGAGGGCCTGGCCTGATCATGGCTTCATGCACTTTTTTTTTTAGGGTTTTTTTTTTTTTGAGAGGGCATCTCTCATATTTATTGATCAAATGGTTGTTAACAACAATAAAATTCTGTATAGGGGGGTCAATGCTCAATGTACAATCATTAATCCATCTCAAGCCTAATTCTCGTCAGTCTCCAATCTTCTGAAGCATAACGAACAAGTTCTTACATGGTGAACGAATTCTTACAGAGTGAATAAATTCTTACATGGTGAACAGTACAAGGGCATTCATCACAGAAACTTTCGGTTTTGATCATGCAATATGACCTATAAACCATCAGGTCAAATATGAATATTCATTTGATTTTTGTACTTGATTTATATGTTGATCCCACATTTCTCCTATTATTATTATTATTTTTATTTTTAATAAAATGCTGAAGTGGTAGGTAGATGCAAGATAAAGGTAGAAAACATAGTTTAGTGCTGTAAGAAGGCAAATGTAGATGATCAGATGATCAGGTGTGTGCCTATGGACTAAGTATTAATCCAGGCTAGACAAGGGCAGCAAGACATCCACGGATGCAGAAGATTTCTCTCAAAGCAGGGGGGGTGAGGTTCTGAGCCTCACCTCTGTTGATCCCCAAATTCTCACCTGATGGCCCCCCTGCGACTGTGCCTGTCTTAGGTTGTTCCTCCCTTGAGGAATCTTACCCGTCTCTGGCTAACCAGTCATCTTCCGGGGCCATACAGGGAAATGTAAAGTTGGTAAGTGAGAGAGAAGCCATATTGTTTGCAAAGGTTAGCTTTTTACTTCTTTGCAGATTTATGCCCTGTGGCTTCTATGCCCAGCACTTGTCTCGAGGTATCTTTACCACCTGGAGGAATTATGATACTCGGTAAATTCGATATGAGGCACGAATTCTATTTAAGGTTTGTAATTAGGAAGGAAGAAGAAAAGCTATAGATGTAGCATATGAAGGAAACTTGGGAGGATTGATTATTTCTTTGACATATCTTCTTGTATAGTACCTTAAGTATGTATAGGTTTTAAACTACTAACTAATTTGCACACACATATTAACATAATAGGAATACGGTGACATAAACAAAGCAAATCTATAATTACCAGCCATCTCCAGTGAAGCCAAGAAAACCATTTAGGCACCCTAGGCATTTGTGAAAATTTATCTATGATATGATGGATATTTTCCAACTGTACTTGAACCATCAGACAAATTAAAGCAGCCCATTTCTGGGATCTGTTCACATCCCATATGTTCTTTTAACCATAGATAGTCTATAGTCATGAGATTTTGGGGTGCTACAACTTGCACCCCTCCCAACTCCTGGTTGAGTTCCAACAGTACAGATCCAGTCAAATTCGTTGTCTCACTGTATGCACATGCCAGCCTAGACATCTCCCTCCTCCTTCTTATGGCAAGTCCAGGAGATGGTGGGCTGGATGCAGCCACAACCGCAGCATCGTCCGGATCCCTGTGGAGGCTTTTTGATGATCATCCCCCGGCACGAGTCCTCCAGAGAGTGCTGATGCCGGAAGCTCCTCCTCATATCGTATCTTAGTTCATTTTCTGGGTATCCAAGCTAGGCCTTGATCTTCTGCGTAGAAACAAACAGACCCTTTGCCCACACTTTG